GTTGAGACCTGTTCCGACGCCTGCTGTCTGGTTGGCTTGCAGGCCTCAATGACTTCAGCTACCTCCACACGAACTGCTTCGAGCTGTCCATCTACGTGGGCTGCGACAAGTTCCCGCACGAGAGCCAGCTGCCCGAGGAGTGGGAGAACAACCGGGAGTCCCTCATCGTGTTCATGGAGCAGGTGCGTGCCGCGGGCCGGCCGTGGGGGGGCGCTAAGGAGTGGGGCTGCAGGTGGCAGAACGTGAGGGATCAGATCAGTGCGTCAGGCGTGGCCACCGCCCTGGGCCACCGTGGTCCCGGGCCAGCCACTCCAGCGTGGAAAGGGACCGTTGTCAGCCTGCACTTGCTTGGAGCCGGGCGGGTGAGCTCTCAGTGCCGATTGACGGCCCCGGCTGGTTCGTGGTGGGTGAGACTCGTCTGGGGCCGAGAGATACTGCGCTGTGGGGAGGGGACATGCTCCGGGCCCCGGTATCAGTCTGCTAANTGCACTTGCTTGGAGCCGGGCGGCTGAGCTCTCAGTGCCGATTGATGGCCCCGGCTGGTTCGTGGTGGGTGAGACTCGTCTGGGGCCTAGAGATGCTGCGCTGTGGGGAGGGGACATGCTCCGGGCCCCGGTATCAGTCTGCTAAGGCTGAATAACAAAATACGCAGGCCGGCGGCCCAAACAGCGGACATGGTGGGTCTGGAGGCTGGCAGCCCAAGATCTAGGGGTCTCTCTCACATCGATGTTTCTCTCTCTCTCTGCCTTCCACTGTCTCTGAAAAACAATAGAAAAAATATCCTCTGGTGAGGATTTAAAAAAAAAAAGAATGTCTTCAGAAACGACGCTGTGTCACTGTGGACGGTCACGGTGACAAGGCACAAGGCTCAGAATTGATGTGTGTGTGAGACATGGCTAATCAGTGGACGGGCCCTGTAGACTGGGTTGCTATTTACAGGATCATCTGACCCTTCCTTCCTCTCTCTATAAGTCTGTATAGCTCAGGAAAATCAAATAAATGCATATACAAAAATTCCATTTTTAGTGGGTTTTTTAAAATGAGCCATCTCAGATCCTCATATTTTTTTAAACCTCTGAAATATTTCCACTCCAGTGGAAGGCTTCTGATGCAGGGACCTACAAGGAATACAGAAGCTTACACACCAAATCCGTGCGGAGCTGGGGAGCTTTCGAGCTGGGCGTGGCTTCGCGAGGGTGCTTGGTGGCACTGGGTGGCCTTGGGTTGTGGTTCCCATTGTGCAGGTTGGGTGGCGCGCATCGGCGAGCTCACCCGGGGTCTCCTCCTGTTTGCCGAGCAGGTTCATCGTGGCATCAAAGGTGTGGTGAGGGATTCACACGGAAAAGGAATTCCAGACGCCGTTATCTCCGTAGAAGGCATCAACCATGACATCCGGACAGGTAACTGCACGCGTGTGTAGACTCTCTCGGTAGGAAATGCCCATTTTCTCAAAGTGTTTGAGTGAATGAATGGACATTACGGGGTGTTCCCAGGATGAACGGCTGAGCCAATCCAGGCCCCCTTCACGTCCCCCTGGAGGGGGGAAGGGAGCCTTTTCCCCCAAAACTGTTCCTATGCATGAACTGACCCTGTGCTCCCAACAAATCGTCCCCTTTGACCTGCGAGGAAACGATGACCCTGGGGCAATAGGATGGGGTGAGGCTGGGTGTCAGACTTGGCCGTGTGCCCTTCGGTGCTAGGCTACCTGCGCGCATGCCTGGTGCTCAACAGGCCAGCTACTGTTAAAATGAGTGAATTTTATCTGAAATGCCACAAAGTAGTCGACTGACTGCCGTGTAACACCCTGAACCTCATTGTTTCCTGGGGGCTGCCTGTATCTTTATTCTTTAGTGACAGTGTTTCCGCCAGGGCAGCAGGGCATTGGATACATAGTAACCCCTCCTGGGCATCCATCTGTTCACTCAGCCTGCGGGTTACAAACTCCTCAGGGGCCAGACACCTGGGAGGTGATGACTGTCATCGTGAATGAAAGAGGCCGTTTGATCTGCTCTGCGTGCGACTGTGTTTTAAACATTGCCAATGAGCCCCTTGAAAAGAGTGATTCATAAAAGAGCCTGGAACATTCTTTGGACTATTAGTGCCTTGTGCACACTGTGAAAACACAGGAGGGTTTTTAATGGAGTGGGAGATAAAAAGGCCCTGGGGCCCCACAAGACAGCAGAGAGGATGTTGCCTAATGAGCTCTGACTTTCAAGCCTTGTAATCAAGGAGACAGTTTTGATGAGCTGATGGGACTCGTGTCTCCCTCTACCGTTATTTCCCCCATAAATAACTTCCCAGCGCGTTCTCACGTCGCCGAGCCCCATACTTTACACACGACACTTCCCTGTATCAGTTTCAGGGCCTCCCAGCACTTGGAGTCAGCTCCGATTTGCCTTGATTTCTGTCTGATGCTTATGGGATCTGACAAGTTTTATTTCAGGAGGGATTTTGCGTAAAATAAACAGTGCTATTAAGTGGCATTCTACTGGGAAAGAAGCCAGTAAGTACGCCTTCTAAATGCATGTAAATATTTGGGCCACGGACCAGGCTCAGGTGCCACGTGACTGTCCTTTGCTTGGTGGACACTGGCCTGACCTGCGAACAAATGGATATTCCCTGAGGCCTGGCTGTCCCTTCCGTCCACCAATGTCCACGACGCCAGCAGTGCGCCGACCTTCCCCTGCAGCCCCACGGCACCCTCACCTCCCATCAGTGGGACAGGAGCCCAACAGAAGCTGAGACTGAACATGTCTGACTCCTCATGCTGAGTCCAGGTCACCAGAGAGCAGGCTGTGTGGGCGCATGACAACTGCCAATGTATTTCATTTTTATTTTTTATTTTTTATTTTTGAGAGAGGAGGGGGGAGAGAGAGAGAAGGAGAGAGAGAGATGTGTTGTTCCGCTTATTTATACATTCATTGGTTGCTTCTTGTATGTGCCCCGACCAGGGATCGAACCTGCAACCTTGGTGTGTCAGGATGATGCTCTAACCAACTGAGCCACCCGGCCAGGGCCAGTTTTGTTATTTGTAACATCTCGACCTTTTGTGAGCTCTCAGCATGGCATGGGGCGTCTCGGATGAATCAGATTGCAGTGTGAATTTAAACACAATATTTCAGAGCATTATCTCTGTCTGTGTGTGGGCTCTCCCGCCGGCGGCGGCCTCAGTGGGGGTCGCTTTGCCTCTCGCCGCCTCTTGAACGGCAGGGGTCTGTGTCCTCAGCGGGCTGTAGGTGCCTGGCGAGCAGTGGCCTTGGCCTAGAGCCCCGCTTTGTGCAGAGAGAACCTGACCTAGAGCTCAGGGTGGAGACATCCCATCAGGTGCTTGCTGGGTGACTGACCCGTGGCGAGCCGGGGAGGCAGGGTCAGCCTTGCGGTCCCCGTGTGCCCCTGCGGCACCCGTGGGTGGCTGCTCCTGCGGCTTCAGGTTTCTTTCAGACACAGGACGTGGAGCAGGGCTGTGGACTGAGGTGCAGACACCAGGGCCTCCTCCCGGGTCATTGGCCCTTGTCCCCTGTTGTCTTTCCCTTCTCCTTTCTCTTTTCGGAAGTGAGGCGCCCCACCCCTGAATTCCTATTTTATATTTATAGCCACGCTAAGAGAGGCCAAGAGCCGTGCAGCGATGGCTTTTCAGGATGGCGTTTTGCGGTGGGGGCGGGGGCAGGCCGTTTGCAGGCGCCAGGGCGCGATGAATGGCGCGTATTGTCCAGAGCACGGAGAGCGAGTGGCTATTTCTCCCTCGCCGCCCATGTGCATCAACACTGTGGGGAGTCCACACCCCAAACCCTGCCTGTTAGAACCATTAAGGGGGCTTCCAAAGGGGGAAACAGCTCGGCTTCCAAAACGCATGAGGACCGTGCACCGGTGGGGGCTGGGGCTCCACACAGGCTGCCTCTGGGTCCCTCTCGGGTCCCGGGTAACAGGGCTGGTGGGACCCGCGTTCGACCAGGACCGCTCCGAATCCCTCTGCGTTCTCTCCGCAGCCAGCGACGGGGACTACTGGCGCCTCCTGAACCCCGGAGAGTACATGGTCACGGCCAAGGCCGAAGGCTTCACCTCGGCCACCAGGAGCTGCATGGTCGGCTACGACATGGGCGCCACGCGGTGCGACTTCACGCTCAGCCAGACCAACCTGGCCCGGATCAGAGAGATCATGGAGAAGTTCGGGAGGCAGCCCGTCAGCCTGCCCGCCCGGCCGCCCAGGCTGCGGGGGCGGAAGCGACGACAGCGGGGGTGACCCCAGCTCCGGAGCCGAGTCCCAGGCCCCCGCAGATTAAACCGTAGAGGACGGCCCGGTGTCCGCTCTGTCATTCAGGAAGGCCTGGGGGAGCGTGCGTCCGGGCCCGGGGAGGGCTGCGGGCTTAGGGTCTCTTCTTTCCTTTGTTCCCGTGCATCTAAGTCGCTTGGGCAGAGCAGCCGGGAGAGGCTGGAAGGAGTGGTTCACGCAGAGTCAGAGAGGAGCTTGCCGCGCAGGGGCTCCTGGCCGCCGAGGGGAGACGGGCGCCTCCCCGATTGCGCGGCCGTGGGTTCCCTGTGCGTCTGCAACGTGCGCTGCGGACATCACCGCGCCCCTGCGGCCCTGTTGTCCCAAATGTCACCCTTCCAGAGGGTCCCGGGCACGCTAAGAAAATCCAGCCTCTCTGCCCCAGGACGTTCCTCGCTGCCGCCCATCCGTTCTGTGCTCTGTTGACCACGGGGATGTTACCAAGTGCGCATCGGGCGGCCCCTCGATCAGTTTTGTTTCCCTGTCAACGCAGGGACGTGCTCACGGAAGGGGAGAGAGGCTGAAGTAATTCAAGGGTGATGGTTGGGCAGCGGGCGTGCTGGGGGCTGGTTGCATGCACACTGGGGTTACAGAGCACCCCCACATTCCCTGCTTGTCCAGCAGCCCTGAGGGTGCCCTGGGTGGTGCCAGCGGGAAGCCCCAGCTTCCCGAGGAACCGCATCTCCTAGTCCGGCTCCTCCGTGAGCCGCTGGGACTCGGAAAGAGGGGGCGGGCCGACCCGCAACCCTCTCCCTGCGGCAGACCCTCCTCGCGGGGGGCGCGCCCCTCACGCTACCTGGCCGGGCCGGGGTCCGACGCGTGCGGCTCCGGGCCTTCCTGGCTGCGCTCAGTGTGGAGAAACGCTCCTAGAATTACCTGTGGAGGGTCCGTTCCGGAGGGTAACTGAATCACGTGCAGGAAACTCACTTTTTATCGATGTTGCTGCCTCGCGGACCTGGGAGTAATGACAAAAATAAAGAGAGCAAACGGTAAGATGCTTCCAGCGTGTGCTTTTCCTGGGTAGCCTCGCGCTCGCGGCCACGCCCAGCACGGCTGGCCGGGAAGCTGGAGGGACAGGCTCCTCCGAGGCTGATTCTGCGGCCGAGCTGACTCCACCGGGCCCTGGGAGCTCTTCCTCCGGCCCTTCTGTCCCCTGCCACGCACACAGCCCCACGCTCACGGGCAGGGCACCGGGAGCCCAGGAAAACTAGAAAAAAGAAATCAGAGAGGTGGGGAGAGTATTCAGTGCCTTCTGGGTGCACAGGGAGTTACAGGTCTTTAGAGCAGAGGGTGCCTTGCGGGCAGCGAGTCCTAGGAGAGCCACCAGGTTTCCCTGTCGGGCCAACTCCGGCTTATCGCTGGCACTTGCTTGCGGCTCTGTGTTAGGAAGGGCTCTGAGGCAGGGTCCTGGCCCAGTGGGAAGGAAAGCTGCAGCATTTTGGCCGTGTGCGCTGTGGGCACCGGAGGGGGGACGGCAGGTTGCCTCAGGTGTCCATCCTTGAACTGGTTTCACGCCCCTGGACGTGGAGATGGGGACGTGGGGAGGCACACAGAAAGGCAGAAAGTACAAAGTCGTGTTGCCCCCCATGGCAGCAGGAGGACGCTCAGGGTCACGCTCCTTTAACCGCTGTCCTGGAAACCGTAGCCTGGGGTCCAGGCCTCCGGGCCTGACTTTCTAGGAGCAGATCACACCCCCCGGCAGCGAGGGAGGCCCAGGAGCCACCGTGCATTTCATAAGTCAGGACAGAGGAGGGAACCTCATTCGATCGCCTTGTCTAGGGGAGCCGTTCACAAGGAGCTGGTGAAACGTGTAAGACCCTGGAGAAGCTCAGAGCCTGGTTCTCGTGCTCTTTCCATCACAACTCCCCGTCCCCTTGACACGACCCAACCGATGGGTGCTGTGTGAACCCTCGGCCCCGGTTCGACTCCTGGTTGGTGGCGCTCGTCGGGAGGGCAGCTTCCACACTGTCCGCAGCCTGCGAGCCTTCTGAGCGCCGGGAGGTCGGCGCCTCACCGGCGTCCCTTGTTATCTAGTCTGTCACGGGAGGAAGGCCGCGGGGCTCCACTCGCTCACGTGGCCTTGGTAGTGGACTCTGTCCAGGCCTCACCCACTGGCCGGCTTTCTGGAGCCTCCCCCCGGCCTCTCCCTGGAGCTGAGCAGGGAGAGGGGCTGACAGCTCAGCCTGAAGAGCTGAGCCCGCCTAGGCCTGAGCCCGGCCGCCAGAGGGAGAGAAAAGGCTTCCCGACTTCAAGTTGCTAAGGCCGCCCAGTGGGACAACACGGGACANTGGCTGCCAGAGGAGAGAAAAGGGTTCCCGACTTCAAGTTGCTAAGGCCGCCCAGTGGGACAACACGGGACATGTGGGGACCTGGGAAAGGGGGCATTTGGGGCCGGCCTTGAGCCTGATGAGACCAAAGTGTCCGGTGTATGTCCTGGGACCCTTTAGAGTCAAGATGGAAAAGTGTCTACACGGAAATGGAACCCGACCGTTCCAGCGACCACGTGGAATGAATTCTTACCTCCTTCCTCGGAGGGAATCTTGTGTCCTGCCCTAAGCAGTGTACTCTGGGTTCCCTTGAAGTAAGGTGAGCTTTCTGTCAAGGGGCTTTGTCCAGCATTGGCTGTGGTCCCCACCTGATAGGCACAGGGATGGAGAAGACCCCAGCCCCTCAGCAGGAACACAGGAGAAAAACAGAGACAAGCCCATGCACTCCAGTGGCCACACTAAAGACTGGTCATTTCTCCCTGATGACCTGGGGGTGGTGCAGGGCAGGGAAGGTGACTGACCAGGAGAGGAAGCCAGTGTCACAGAGAGACACAGGGAGCGCTGTCTCTGATGGGCTCTAAGGGGCCCCCCATTAGGCAGGTGAGGCCAAGAGGAGGGCAGGGCGAGATCGTGCCCGGCTTGGTGCTGGGCTGGGTTTTGAGCAGCACCCCGTGGGCGCTACAGGCCCCTGGAAAACAGCGGAGGCCACACACGATGCTCCTAGAAATACAAGAGAGCGGGACACGGCTTCTTGCAGGGAATTAACGGGGCCATTTCAGCGAGTCTAAAAATACGTATGCTAAAAACTTTTCTTTTAATAAACAGTGGAGAAACATTTTGTTCTATAAAAAGGAGACTAAATAGGCTTTAAAAAAAAAAATCAAGAAACTGTAGGGCAGGCCTTAGGATTTCACTGCAAACCTGAATTTGGAAAGTCCAGTACCTTTGCCAGCACTTTCCATGCATTGGCGTGCCCGGCGCTGTCCCCCCGGCCTCGGAGGAAACGGGGGAGGGAGGCGCAACTGTTTCCACGTCACTGACGGGGAAATGAGGCCGGGGACGGGCCCTCACTTGCCTGGGCTCTTTTCAGTTTGTGGAGAAGCAGAAATTTTGAGGAAATAGCGTCTAGTAAAAGGATAGGCGATGGAAAGGCTCGTAAGGTGAGAATTTGGAGCAGAAGAACATGCACAGTGGGGTTTTGTCTAACCGGATGCCTTGGTTTGGCGCTTTCCAGAAAGTGAAGTCTGAGACAAGAACGTGGGTGTTGGGGGGTTATTTTGGGGGTGATCCCAGCAGGGTGGGGGCCAGGTAAGTGATTCAGGGA